TTTATTGTCTAACACCTCTATGCATTATACATTTTTAAATTAATCTTCATAACCATATGAAATAGACAGTTTTATTTTTCTCATTGTACAAAGGAGAAATATGAGGCTAAAGAGGATTTAAGTAATGGTTAGATTTTGAATAGTCTGTCAGACTGCAGAGTTTGAGTGCCTAACTGGGATAATAAATCACCTCTCCTAGGTATTGAGGTCTTAAAATTGTGTATTTAAAAATAAAAGGGGAAACAGATTTATCATTGTCATATCGTGGAAATCAGGACAAGAATTGTGTAGCCCAGGCATCCTGAGGGACTGAAACTGGAAGGTCATCAAGAATCAAGGCAGTTCTGGTGCTATTTCTTTTGCTTTCTTTCCTCATCTTTGTCCTCTTCTGTTACTTTCTCTTTCTGCATATTGGCTTCCTCTGTTGTCCTTATCACCTGGCCCATCTTGATTGTCCATAAAATGCCACCTTCAATACCAGGGTCTTTATCACCTTAAAAACCCAGAGCCATGGCCAACTGACCCTTTCATGGTTTGAATTATAGTGTCCTGTGAGAGAGAATCCTGCTATCCTGCTTAGGCTCTGGATTGTCTTCTTTTGGGTCAAGTGTCTGTCCTTTGATCAGATAGCTGTGGCAGTGGGTGATCAAGCGAGGAAGGGGTGACTGGATACTTTCAGGGATTTACACTAATGTTGGTAGGTTCTCAGGGAAACAGCCCCAAAATATGCCTATACAGCAGGTCCTTGAGTCATGTCATTTCATTCAACCTCAGTTTGTCAAAATGTTGATGAGATGCCATAGGAACCTAACTCTTGTCTATACCAATTAGCCTGTGGTAAAATTGGTTTCATTATACATCATTTTGTTTAAAGTCACAGAACCTATTGATGATGTTAAGCAAGGACTTACTTTACTAACATGTATCAGATAATATTAAAGCAGTGTCATAAAAATAATAGCACAAATACAAAATACAAGTAAGATAACATAAAATAAAATATAAACAAAATAAATGTAACAAAAAATAACAGCACAAATACAAATATAAAATACAAAATAATAGGTACAAGAAATTGGTTAATTTTTTAAAAACTACCTTCCTGGATTTGAGTATGTAATTTCTATAATGGCACTAGAATAATTTATTTCAAAGAATTATCTGTGTGAATGTTTTTGAAAAGAATATTCAATAGTCATTATTTATTGAGCACGCTTTTATTTCTATTGTCAATTCAGGTTTTCCTATAGTAGGTTTGCATAATTGGATATGCTTCCCAAGAATCTACATTATTTGTTGTACATTATTTGAAGATTTGCTTCATGGAATTTAAGGGTCTATTTCATAATTCCTATTTCATAATTCACTATTTCAGTGAATAAGAAGTACTTGTAATTTGTCATGCATTTTCAGTTATTGATGGCTGTTCTTAAAATTTTTCTAGTAGCCTGTCTCATTTCTAAAATTTGCTGTTTTCTAGGGAGTTTTTGAAAAGTCTGCTTAGAATGGTCTACTCTTCTGTAGGATTTTGGGAAGAAGGTTTAATGGAAGCAGATGATTTCTAGTGTATTAGGTTCAGGTAAACATTTTCCAACTTAGTTTCAATGTAAAGTAATTTTAATTTTACTATTTTCAAATCATATTTTATGATAAAAATGTTGAAGATACGTTTAAGAGATATACTTTTATATGGTTTGTTGTGAATTGCATTATCTTGGGCTTATATTTTAAAACAAGTATTCGGAGCAGACAAAAGTAGATTTACAGTTGTAAGTACATAAAACTCAGGATTTTATTCCTTTATCATTATTTATTAATTATTGTATTATTTTCCATATGAACAACTGTAAACCTGTTTTTTCACCACTCTGTATATTCATTTTTAAATGGTAATTCCAGAAAATATAATTCAGTGTGTTTTTTGGTTTTCACCCAACTTCCTTAGGAGCTAGGTAGTTCTTTTACACCTAATGAGCTTTAGATGCTATCATAAGCTTAAAAAAATTTTTTTGCATTCTTTTATTAAGTGTATATTTTGGCTGATAGCTATACACTTATTCTGGGCTTCCTTAGAGTTCAAGTTACTAGAATGCTGCATCTAGTCTGTATATGGAAATTAGCTTTATTTTTCTGAAATATATTGATCCTATGCCACAAACTCTACTTCTGGCTTCTTTGTGTTCATGTGGTGAGAAGAATTTCCCAAGACGTTTGTTGTTGTTTTAAATGAAACAGCTGCCATTTATTTCAACAGACTGGGCCATTTCCAAAGCAGGCTTCCTACCCCGTTCTGTCAGTTATGGTTTTTAATCTAGAATTTCTCTCTAGAATTTCTCTCTAACTTTGTTAAATCTAGAATTTCTTTCTGACTCTGTTAAAGATAGGGGCAGTGTCTGAGTATCTCAGTGGAAGTGACTTCTTTAGGTATATGAACTAGATTCTGCAGATATCAGTTAGGAAGAGGAGGAGGGATGGGTGGGAAAAGAGAAATAGAAAATAGGAATAGAAATAGACAAAAGGAATTGCGGTAATGAGGCAGGACTGTTTAAAAATAGCATTTAAAGTGGCATTTAGAAACAGAGTAAGGAATTATTTTAAACAACAGAATATATAAGGACTAGAATAGACCTTTTAGGTTAGTACTTCCCAATTACCTATGGCGAAGGACCAGATTTTTCATTTTTAATTCATTATGCATAAGGCATGCATAGTAAGTACATTTATCACATGCTTAGGTCAGATGCTTTGAAAACATTGTCAGATTGCTATAAAGGTTCTAAATGGCTATTTTCCATTTCTGTCTATACTAGTGGTTCTCAACCTTCCTAATGCTGTGACCCTTTAATACAGTTCCTCATGTTGTGGTGACCCCCAACCATAAAATTATTTTTGTTGCTACTTCATAACTGTAATTTTGCTACTGTTATGAATCGTAATGTAAATATCTGATATGCAGGATGTATTTTCATTGTTACAAATTGAACATAATTAAAGCATAATGATTAATCACAAAAACAATATGTAATTATATATGTGTTTTCCGATGGTCTTAGGCGACCCCTGTGAAAGGGTCGTTCGACCCCCAAAGGGGTTGCGACCCACAGGTTGAGAACCGCTGGTGTATACTATAGATTGGTATCAGTTTAATGACTTACCACCGTGGAATAGTGTTGTTGATCCTAAAAGCTTGCTTCTTCATTTTTGCACCTAAAGTATTAAAGCTCAGAAAAGTGAAATGATTTGCTCAATATTATACAGCTATTAAAACTGTCTTTTTTGTTTCAGTAGAGAACAACTCTACTCAACAGCAAAAGTTGGTCTTTTGTGTAAAGGTGATGCTCAATGTCAGCATGCGAAAAGTGAGAAAAATATGCCCTTGGGGATTTTCACTTTCTGCATTGTGGATTTCTGAATTAATCTTTTGTATGATTGTATATTTTTGGAATCAGAAGAAAATAAATAAAAAGACCAAGTAAATCAATACCAAAACAATACAAATAAGAAATGTTGAAGTATAAAAAGCATAATAATTGGGGGAAAAACTATTAGTTTCATGTAATTTGATTAGTGAGTTTATATGGGAAAAGTGTCAAGAGATAAGGCCTAAAAGATTGTCAGGAACAGGATTGGTAATGGTATGTAAGCCATAAAAAGGAGTTTGCTTTTTATTTGGCAGACAATGGGGAGCAATTAAAAATTTTTATATAATAAGTAATGTACAACAGGTTGGTTTTCAACAAAAAGGTTTTTAGTGCTTTCTCTCTCTAACTAGTGGCCTGTTGCACGAAGATTTGTGCAATAGGCCTTCCTTCGCCTGGCTGCCGGCTCCGGTTTTCCTCTGGCACCCGGGACCCAGGCCTTTGGTCTAGCCACAGCAGTGAGGCTTGGCTTCTCCCTTGGCGACCCAGGCCCCCAGCCCCTCCTTGAGCAGAGCCCAGGGTGAGCGGGAAGCTTGGCTTCCTCCATCACTGGGAGCAACCCAAGCCTCCTGCTCGCTCCAGCTCCATGGCCGCTGGCATCTTCAGTCGTCTTCAGTCTTCACTCCGCGCCTGTGTATGCAAATTAACCACCATCTTTGTTTGGTTAATTTGCATAGTCGCTCTGATTGGCTGGTGGGTGTAGCGGAATGGCGAGTGATGGAGTGATGGTTAATTTGCATGTTTCTCTTTTATTAGTGTAAGTAATAGCTTAACACATTGTTTGCGGGTAGTTTTTATCGCGCGCTAACAGGTGGCGCGGGCCATTTTTGCTAATTTTTTGCGCAAATGGCAACGTTCTGTAAAATTGCGATAACTTTAGTTTACATATTTATACATTACCCGCATTCTACCGCTAGTCTATAAAAAACGTATTAATACATGTCCCGTGCTCTACTACACTGGTAGAACGTATAAATACATAAAACGTATAAATACGTTTCCCCGCATACAATGTGTTAAAAGGTAAGAGAATATAGAAATTTGGTGCAGTGATTGAGATTAGTATTTAATATCTCTTGAAACACTAAGTAGTTGGTAAAAATGTATAATATTGAGGCAGGATATTATGGTGTTGAACACAACCAAATTGTTTGGGTTGGAATCTCATCTTTGCTTTTTATTACTTTTCTCAACCTTGGACAAAATAATTAACTTCTTTGAGCCTTGGTTTTCTCATCTATAAATTGGGCACACATAATAGATCTGTCATGAAGTTAAATAACTGTGTGTATGTTTTATGATAGGTATGTAGACATATTTATTAAATAATGTAGAATAGTTCCTGGCAAATAATGAACCTGAAATAAGTACTTTTACTGCTGCTGCTGTTGTCATGATTAGTAATAGAAGGCATTTCATTAAGTAAATTACATAAGCATCTATGAATAATGTGAATATAAAATACCAAAAAATGTATATCAGTTATTATCTGATAATCACTACCCACTGGATTTCAAACTTTTTTTTCTCCATTGTAGAGACTAAAATGGTGAATTTAAGTATATGTTTTCTCTTTTATAGTTTATCAGAGAAGATATGAAATATAAAGATGCTACTAAAAAACACAGCCATCTGCACAGAGAAGATAAACATATAACTGTTGAGGATTTATGGAAACGATGGAAAACATCAGAAGGTAAGACTGTTTTTAGTGATCTAGATTCCTTACCTGCTCTTCTGCCCTGCTTAGCCATTGTTAACTCACTAATTGCATATAATCTTACAAAAAAAAAATCAGTGTAACATTTCTGTGAGGATATTTCTCTGAGGATACTTATATTTTAGTAAATAATTATTTTATCAAGTAAACATGGATCCCAAACTTTTCTTTTTAGTTATGGAGAACAGTTTCTAAGGTCTTTAGAAGGCATAGAACTTATAAGTTTTTCCTTAAATATACCCTTAATGGAGTTTCCTAATATTTTCATGCTAACGTTGTATAATTTATATTTTATTTCTTTTTCTACTCATAAGTTCTCAAGCTTATTTATGGACAGTAATTGTTTAGGGCAGGAGAAGTATATGACTTAAAACCTTAACTTGATCCCTAATACTAGGAAGCTATTAAAATATTTTAAAAAGTCCATTAAGCTTTTTTTTTTTTTAGTAATAGTCAACCAAAATGTCTAATGTTTCTGTTCTTTTACCAAAGTCAAATAATTATGTTGTAGCATATGTTTTTCTCTGTAAGTTTGAATAATGATGTGAAATTAAAAGGAATCTAGGACAGATTACCAAGTAGGAATATAGAAAAGTAATAAAATTTGCTAGACTGTCAGTGGTAACATTTAGAAATGGGCAAAATACAGAAAGTTATTCCACCAATGCTCAATATTTTTATTAATGTAAATGGTTTAAAAGAGGTGTGTTTTGCAATATACTGGGAAGAAGAAAAAGAAAGAAGGTAAAAAACACCACCAGTTTAAATAAACGATACACAGACTTCAGAAATCTGTCTCTCCATATCCCCTCCCCATATCACTTTTAAGTAATATGAACTTGAGTAAGAATAGGAATAAATGAATATACATTTTATAGGGGAAAGTGCTAAATGGTATGAAACTCAGTAAGACTTACCAGGAAATATAGTAATATGTAGATATTACTAAAGGAATTGGATATCCATTATTGCTACTAGTGTATTTTAGGTATTAGGTATGTGATAAGTTGAATGGAATGCCCTTAACCATTGAAAGAAGGAAAAAGGATTTGGCCATTTCTCATAACTTGCTATGCTACCACCTGGTTCCGCCCCCATCTCTTGCCTGAGTAATTGCAGTAGCCCCTTAATGGTCTCCCTGCATATACTTGTCTTCTGCTACAGTCTATTTTTCATTTAGTAGAGTAACCTATTGGAAATATAAGTCAGATCTGTTCAATACCCTTCAGTGACTCAGAGTAAAAGCCAAAATCTTTACAAAGACCTTATAAGCCTCTACATGATCTTCCCTCCACTGCCACCCTGTTACCTCTCTTCCCTCTCTGTCCTGTCCATCTTCCTCACTCACTGAGCTTTATCCTTGCTGGACTCCTTGCTATTCTGCAACTGCAGGAATGCAGACACCCTCATGGCTAACTCCATTACCACTTTCATTAAAGCCTATCAGGGCTATTCTCTCTTGAGGCCCACCCTGACCACTCTATTTAGCTATCTTGATTCCTGTTACTCAGCGTCACACTTTCCTTTCCCATAATGTGTATCACCTTCTAATATATTACATAATTAACTTATTCATTATGTTTGTCTCCTTTCTCTCTCTCCCCTGTCCCCAAGAATATAAGCCAGCGGGGTCTTTGTTTATTTTATTTATTAATGTGTCCTAAATCCAAGGGAACTCTGTCCTTAAACCCGATTTGGGTTTCCTGCCCTGGTGAGTTTGGTGAGATCTTTTGCGATCTATGAGAATGTTTGTTATTTTTCTTTTTTAAACTTAAGGCCTTTTCAAGTTGAAAAGTCTCATTTTTCCTAGGTTTTCACCTTAATTTCCACCCTTAAGATTTCACCATTATGATGAGAAGACTTTCCTCTAAGTCTCCAAAGACTTGTCCTAACTTATCTTTCCTTGCTTCCTTTTCTCTGAAGCCCATCTTTTACATAATATTTTTAGGGGATTAGGGCGTAGGCGGAGTTGTCTCAGGGCTCCTACTAAAATAGTTTCATGAAAGATAGAGGAGTCAGTTGAGTGAAATAAACCTCCACAGAAGCTTAAGAGTGACCTAATTCATATTCTCAACCCATGTCAGACTCTCTTTTTGTATTAAAGGGGTCATGTAAAGGCAGGGCATTGTTGCTAGATCACTCACTGTTTTTAAATCATAGCCTGACAAGCCCCAGTTTTCCTGGAGTATCTCAGGAATAGGACATGCCAAATGTGTAGAATTCTGCTTTTATTTGGTGTATTTTGTTTCTGTATAAAGAGTTCTTTTGGGAAACAAAAAATGATTATTGTGAAAAGTTTTGAAAACTGCTTATATAGAAATTAGAATGTACCTATAGCAATAATATGCAATTCAAGGTTATTTAGTTCAATATGAATACAAATATACATATGCGTGCACACACACACACATGCATACACACACATACAGAATTATACTTTGCACATCATTGTTGTATCTCTAATGCCTACAGCAGTGTCTTATTTACTTTAATATTTAGTAAACACTTGATGAATAGATGAATGTGTAATGCTGATCATTAGATAGTCAGTAGTTAGGTTCATCAAATATTCAGTGTATCAAACATCATTTGAGTTCAGGCATTTCTGCCAAAATGAAATGTATGAACTCCTGAAAAACATATATCTTGCAAAATTACGAACTTCAAAATTGCAGAGTTTATGGGAAATAATGGGTTGAAGCATACTCAAAACCTATGCAACTTTGTAACCAGAGCACTAACACTACTAATAAAAATACTAGCACAGGTGAAAAGATTTGTTAACTTTCTAATCAATAAATACTATAGTAGGTATTGGACTTTATTTAAAAAAATAAGTAAAGATAACTTAATGGGAGGAGGTTTTAGGTAGAGTTGAGGTTACTAAATTATGAAGATGAAGGCGAAGTGCCAGAAGATGAAAACTGAGCAGAACCTGTGGCCAAATTGAGCTTAAAGGAAGAAGGGAGTGGTAAGAGGATATTAAGTTCATAGTTTGCTGTGTTGGCATTCTGTAAGCTTTGGATCCTTTTGCTGCTACTTGGCAGTGTAAAATGATAACATGTGAGGAACAGTCACATATGAAATGATGTGACATATATTATATTGACATGATCCCTATTTACCAGTTACACATAAGCTAATTCATGTTAGAGAAGCACCAGTAGAATAGGTATATCTATTGTGTGGTGAGCTGGCATTGGAGCCTGGATATTAAAGATGAGTTAAACAGTGTCTGGAATGTAAGGAGTGAAGAGCTAAGTAGGAAAGACAAAGTACACAAATAATTACAATATATGTGATATGTACAATAATAGAAACAAGTGTAGGATATAGAGATAGCTCAATGAAAGGAGTAATTAACTCTCTGAAAATTGTGTTTGGAATAGGCTGTGAGAGTTGACCAGGAGTTCTAGAAGGGGATAACGAGGTAGACCACAAATGGTAGCCCCCACATGACTCCTTCAGTTACCTGAAAATTTACTAGAAGTGGAAATGGAGGTGGCAGGCTATAGGAAGTATGTGTGCTTTCAAGTTCTTCAAATGTAACTCCTGGCCCTTCTCTTTATGAACATTAAGACATTGGGCACATTATAAAATTCACTTATAAAATGCAATTCTTGTGTGATATGAATGAATAATGTAGTAAAAGTGCCTGGCAATACCTGGTAGGCAGTAAATGTTTACTTATCTTTATGGTAAAGCTGAATAACTGAAATATTCAGCTGTATTTAAAGTTTTGGAAGGTTTTTGATTCAGTTCCATAATACTTACTAATAAAATGAACAGGTCTGTTAGGCTAAATACTTGCCATTATAATATGTAATTTTCTGAAGGGTGAAAGGTACCCAAGATCTTTATGGAATGTTGTCAACTGACGAAAATTAAAAGTGTGTTGCATAGAAATTGATCCTAATTTCACATAGAAAAATTTCAGTGTGACCAGAGTGCACTTTTTTTGGGGGGGGGGGGGGGCGGGGCGGGGCAGGGGCAGTGGCCTTCTGTAGAGAATACTTGGTCAGTTTGCACATGATAATAGTCCAGTGCCAATGAAAGCCTTTTAAAAATGAGTATTAGATTTTAGACATATTTTTATAAACTGGATATGTTGTTAGAATTGCTGAATACAATTAAATAGTAGCCAGTTACCCAATAAAGGAAAATGTAGATGGAAAATTATTGGTTATGTGTAAGATTTAAGGATCATGGTGGATAAAAACCTGATTAAGTAATGTACTGTTTTTAAAAAGGTAACTCATTGGGTTAAATATTATAACATGTGTCAACCGTGAGGTAATCTTTCCATCCTGTTCAGCATGGGTCTTACCTTACCTAAGGTCACTGTGTAACTTGGGGCTTTACAAATTGAATAGGTATTTTGAAATTTTGCAGAAGATTTAATATTTTTTATTAGAAATTTAAAGGAACTGAAATCGTCTGAGAGAAGTGAGAGGTAGACACTTACTAATGACTGTTGTCAAGTCCAGACAGACAGAAATGACGGTTTTCTTCTGTTTAAGAAAACAAAAATGTACATGTTACACAAAAGGAAATATAAAAGAAAAAAGTTCCTGACCATGTATGGTAAATCTCTATAAGTAAGGAGGATTTATAAACATTTTATTTATATACTAGAGGCCCCGTGCATGAATTTGTGCACCAGTGGGGTCCCTCGGCCTGGCCTGCGGGATTGGGCCGAAACCAGCTCTCCGACATCCCCTGAGGAGTCCCAGATTGTGAGAAGGTGCAGGCCAGGCCGAGGGACCCCACTGGTGCATGACTGGATCTGGGGAGGGATGAGGGAGGTTGTCCAGCTGGGGAGGCAGTGCAGGAGGGCTCCAGGGCATGTCTGGCCTGTCTCACTCAGTCCCGATTGGCTGAACCCCCGCAGCAATCTAACCTACTGGTCAGAGCGTCTGCCCCCTGGTGGTCAGTGCACATCATAGCGACTGGTCAACTGGTTGACTGTCTCCCCC